TACCCAGTTTCTTTTCAGCAAGGTGTTGTTCAGTTTCCATGTATTGACCTTTATTTCCTTATTCTTCCTGTTGTTGATTTCTAGTTTTATAGCATTGTGGTTTGAAAAGATGCTTTGTAGTATTATTATGTTTATAAACTTATGGAGGCTTGCTTTGTGACCTAACATATGGTCAATTCTGGAAAATGTTCCATGTGCACTGAAGAAGTAAGTATATTATGCTGTTGTTGGGTTGAATGCTCTGTACACGTCTATGAGGTCTAGTTGGTTGACTGTGCTGTTTAGTTCCTCTGTAACTTTGTAGAGTTTCTTTCTTGTTGTTCTGTCCCTTTTTGATAGTGACATATTAAAATCTCCCACAATAATTGTAGATTTATCTATTTCTTTCTTCAATTCTAGTAAGGCTTGCTTCATATATTTTGGTGCTTTTTCATTGGCATTGTAGATATTTATTATGGTTATGTCATCTTGCTCAATTGACCCTTTGATCATGAGATAGTGTCCTTCTTTATCTCTTATGAAGGTTTTTGTCTTAAAGTTTACTTTATCAGAGATGAGAATTGCCACTCATGCTTGTTTATTGTTGCAGTTACCTTGGTATATTTTTTTCCATCCTTTAACTTTTAGTCTGTTTTTGTCTTTGTGTGTGAGATGTGTCTCTTGCAGGCAGCATGTTGAAGGGTCTTGTTTTCTTATCCATTCTGCCACTCTCTGTCTTTTCACTGGTGCATTCAATCAATTTACATTCAATGTAATTATCAATAGGTATGAATTAGTTGCTGCCATTATATTATTTTTTGGTAGTGCTGTTTTTTCTTTTGTTCTGCATGTCTTCTTGTGCTGAGTTTGTGTTTTTTTGTGCTATTTCTTGTCAGTTTCTTCTTAGTTTTCATGTTTGCTTACTCTGTTTGGAAGCTCATTTTCATGGTGAGTTGTGAAGTATTAACTTTCTTTGGGGTTACCTTATAGTCTATTAACGTTGCTCTCCATTTAAGACAACCTATTGTATCTTGTAATCTACGTGACCTCCTCATCACCTGAATTTCTGTTCCTACATTTTTTCCTTCTTTGACGTTGATATTATTTTGATCTTTGGTTGAACACCCAGCTGCTTTGAAATCATTGTTGTAGTTTTGTTCTGTTCTGGACTCTGCTATCCATCAACTGAGTTTCAGGTGGTGTTGTCATGCCTGTCAATCTCTGGTTGTTGTCTGTTCTTGTTGGTTTTCAGGCCAAAGAACTTTCTTTAGGATATTTTGAAATGTTGGATTGGTTTTGACAAAACATCTTAGCTTCTGTTTATCCTGGACTGTTTTGATTGTACAATCATAGTTGATTGACAGTTTTTCTGAATAGACAATTCTTTGTTGGCAGTTTTTCTTCTTTTAGTGTTTTGTATATGTCTCCCCATTGCCTTCTTGCCTGCATGGTTTCTGCTGAGAAGTCAGAGCTTAATCTGATTTGCTTGCCTTTGTAAGTAACACTCTCTTTTCCCTGGCTGCTTTTAGGATTCTCTCTTTGTCTTTGATTTTAGAGAGATTGATTATTATATGTCTTGGTGGCTTTCTTTTGGGGTCTATCCATCCTGGTGTATGTTTGGCTTCTTGAATATTTATCTTCTCATCTTTCAAGATGTTAGGGAAATTTTCTTCCAGAAGCTCTTCAACTATCTCGTCTGTGGACTTCTCTGATTGTTCCTTCCAGAATGCCAATAATTCTTAAGTTGTTCCTCTTCATGTTATCCAGCATGAATCTTAGACTTTCTTCAGATTTTTGTATGTTTTTTTTCTCTATCTTAGCAGTATTGAGAGATTTGTCTTCCAGCTTGCTGGTTCTGGCATCCATCACTTCAATTCTTCTCCTTTTCTCTTTCAGTGTATTGTCCATTTTTGATATTTTATTATTAATTATCTGGATCTCTTTTTGCAGGTTTTGATCATTTCCAATGCTGTACTGATCTTGTTTGATTGCTCTTGTAGTACTTTCCTGACTTCTTCCTTGTTTTCCTCCACCCCTTTTCTGAGCATTTGATTTTTTTTTTTTTTTCAGAGCCCTGCTGTTGCAATGTTTTGCTTACATCAATATTTGCCTCTGTCCCACTTAGCCCATGCAAACCTACCTAATTGTTCTCCCATCCACTTTGTTCTTCCATTCCCCTCCACCTTCTTGCATAATGCCCCCCTCCCCAGCACACAAACTATCCTGTGTCTATTCCCTGCCCTGTGCTAAGCATTTGGATTTGTTTCCATATCATTCTTCTGAATTCCTTCTCAGGCAAATCCAAAACCTGCTCTTCTTCATCTAGGGAGCCTTTGTCTGTCTCCAGCTCATTTGCCTCAGTTACTCTTTTCTGTTTTTGGACATGTTTTGAGATATTTTGTTGTGTTTTCTTGATAATTTCCAGTAGTTATATGTTTTTTTTTTTAATGCTTAAATGGATGTTTGTTATTGTGTTATTAAGCTTACTTGGTGTTTCCTGGCGGATATGATTAGGAGATTCACTTCCTTTTTCACTTGTAATGCTTAGCAGCTGTTATTGGCTCTTGTCTCAGTGGTGAAATATTATGGGGTATGCTTGTAGCTTGGCTATATGGCCATGATTGCTGTCTCTTCTTGGGTAACATAGGGAGAAAAAGCTCCCACCTTCAGGAAAAATGTGTGATCAAAAATACCAAAAGCAGAAGCAACATAAAATCTGAGACAAAAAGCAAAAAAAACTCTTTGAAACAAAAATAAAACTGTCAATTACTATCAAGTCACCTTGCTACACAGGCAGTGTGTGTACACCATAGAAGCCTCCAGCAGTGGGTGTCTGTATCCACTCACTCAGGACCCTCCTCTAGTCATCACCATAGAGGTTTGCAGATAGATATTGAGAAATTAATGGGAGAAAGATTGTCTATTATTTTTGTCTCTGAAGGTCAGTTAGGTATCTGCATGTGCACAGCGTAATTCTAGAGATAGTTACATCCTTTTGATGTTGGCGTTTTACAGATTGTTCATATGGTTTGTCTGTCAGGTCTGACAGGCCAGCTTTTTTCTTGCTGGATATGCCGGAGTAAAGGGTCCTGCACACATTTATTTTAGGGCTGCGCCTCCAAGGCTGACTTCATAAGCAGCCGGCAAGCTCTTTTTCTTTGTACCATGGGGAAAACTGTGGGCTTAATGCTACACTCCTTTTCTGGGGGTGTGCACCCACCCGCCTGAAGGTATATGGGCTGGGCAAAGAGGGCACGACAGGGAAGATGAGGAAAAAAATGTTTAGACTCCCCACCCCCACCCCCGCACCTCCTTTTGAAAATGTCACTGCGTCACTTTTAACACCAGTTCCCTGTTCCAGTCTGGCTGTAGCCCTGCTCTCTGAACGCTGCCTGGGTGGGGTGGCTGCAGAGGGAGACCCAGCTGGAGTGATTCCTAAATCGCAGTATATTCCTTTATACCATGAATTTTCCACTTGTGTGTGCAGGCAACTGAAGCCCTGCATCTTATGCTAGATCCAGAGCTCTGGTGTTGTTCCATGAATGCAGCTTCTCTGGGTTTTCAATCCCTCCCCCATGGAGCCTTTCCTACCTGGCTCTGTCTCTGCCGCCAGAAAAACCAGACTCCCTCCTCTTTATTTGATGGCTGTCTACTTTGCTAAACATTATGTCCTTCTCCAGGGACTGGTCCTTCCATGATAATATGCCCAAAGTATATGAGAAAAAGTACTACCACCCTTACTCCTAAGGAATAGTATGACTGTACTTCTTCCAAGACAGATCTGGGGATAACTGGGATCAAATCCTGGTTCTATACTTCCATTATGTGAATTTGGTTTAGTAATAATTATAACCACAAATACTTCTTAAACATTAACTCTATACCATCATATAATAAAATGTGTATTATTTGCATTCATAGCACATTTTCTGTCTAGGAGATTCATTACATCATTTTATTAACTAATTAGCTAGCTATTTAACTAATTAACATATAGGGTTATTGTAAGGATTCAAGGCATTATAGGATAATTTCCAGCAAAAAATAGTAACAAAAATAAATGGTATTAATGCTAATGTAAATATTCTTAGACTAAAACAATTAGGCAGAGTTAGACTACATAGTACAGACTTGCATAAGAAATATTGAAAACAGAACTCTTTTTAATGACTGGTAGAATAAGTTAAGAGTGAAATTGATTCAGTATATGGTAATGCAACAGTTGTTGGTGGGACTAGGGGAAATGGAGATTGCCTCTTTCATTGAAAACAGTATTGTGTGCTTGTTTGCCTCTGAATATTGTGGCCTCCCAAGATTCATGCTGTTACCTTCCTGGAATGTGCTCATTACCTATAATGAATGGACTTTGATAAACATTATGGAAAAATCCTCACAAAACCAAGGTCTTAAGATTTTTCTGTTCCATATTGCTAGCTCATGGATTAATGAATGTGCTTACAATCTGGGAAGGTCAGAACCTGGGACCCCTATATATTTTAAGGTAAATAATACAGTTGAGTTGAATTTATTTTTTCCCCCAGAACTGACAGCATCATCATGATATCACAGCACATGCCCAATGACAGTATTATAGTCCTCACACCAAATGGCATCCAGTTCCCCCAATCTCAGAAACCCAACACCCCCAACCAGAAACCGGAGAATCTGATGAAATGTCTAAAGACAGAGATCCAAGTTTTTGGGGTGAGTCTAAATCAGAAGGAATTTTGAGTTGGGGGTTGCAGAGGGATTATACTGTGTATGTCTTGGGACTAGAGACCCGCTGTATTCCGGAGACTGTTAAATTTTGCCAGAGGGACTCCAGGATGATCCAAAGGCTAATAGAAGCCAGCTGGATAGCCATTTGAACCTTCCCTAGACCTTTGCCATCTGAGGTGCCATTTAAAATATCCTTTCCTCTACCTTGAATTTGAGCTTTTGAGTTTTTGGTTATTTGTATTGTTTTTGTATTTTTGTAATACAATTTGTGTATATGAAATTGCAAAAATATACAAACAATAATGTATGCATATATATATTTATTATACATATGTAGTATTTAATATAACTGATCCTCACTTATTGACTATCTTGCTATCCAACACAGTACATTTATGGCAATAGTAAAAATTATACTATCTGACTATTTTACACATTAAGTACATAGTCTGGCAGTAATGAACACTGAAGTGTGTGGTAAGAGTAATGTTGGTTAAGGTTATGTGTCAACTTGATTGGCCATTATTTTCAGTGGTCTGGTGGTTATGCAATGATACAGTTAATCAGTTATTTAATGATGGAATTTGCCAAGCACGTAATGATGTAGCCATCCTCCATTTTGTAATATAATGTGGACATCCTTCATTTTTGTCTAACACCATTTTTACTTTGGGGATCTATGTCTATAGATGAAAATGGGCATATATAGTTTTCTTTTATAGAAGGAATGGTGGCAAATATTTACATATTTATATACATTTTTCTATTTATTCCCTAATTTGTGTGTAATAATATGAATCTATTTTTAAAGGAAAATATTTTTTTCACAACAAATTACTGAAAAAACAACATCCTCTTTCCATTTCTTTACTGTTTTTGAAAAAAGAGATGATATTTTTCTTTTGTTTCTCTTTCTCTTCTTATATGTGATTATTAAATAAATCTATTAAGTGAATGAAGGAAGGGGAGAGAAAAGAATACATGTAGAGTGGAAAGAAAAATAGAGAGCTCTGGTTTTTAGAGTTGTCTCTGCACCATTTTCCTTCTTCTAATCAGACTCCACGATCTGGTGGGACTGGTTTCCTTGATTCACATATACAATAATGTTAATTACTATGAAACTTATGTGACACAATGTTTGGAAAAGGTGGGTATAAGTTAATAGAACTATGAATCTCTTAGGCAAGAAATTCAGGAAGGAAAACTTCACGTTTTGTGGTGGAGCTTCAGGTTCTTCATCAATAGAGACATGGGTTGAGGAGACCAAGGAGGGCCAAGTTACATGTTGATGTGTCCAGGAGTATCTTAGGATATAAGAAGAGGTCTCTACAAAAGCATCAATATATCTGTTTTGGAAAAAGTGCAGCCAGAGTGCTCCTTGGAGGCCAGGATGGCTAAGCTTCGTCTCTCCTACTTTGGACATATTGTCCGGAGGAAACAGTCGCTGGAGAAGAGGATGTCATGCTGGGTAAGATGGAGGGTCAGAGAAAAAGAGGAAGACCCCCAACGAGATGGATCAGCCAGGTGGCATCATTGATGGCGTCAAGTGTGGCAGTGGTAGTGAGGTTGGCTCAGGATCGGACATTGTTTCTATCTGCTGTGAATGGGGTCGCTATGAGTTGGTTCCGACTCGATGGCACCTGACAACAACAACAACAACAACTACATTGTCAACACTCATAGGAGTGAGCGGGCTCTGATGCTCACTGTTCCTGTAAGAACTAGAAGGAAGCATGGAGAGTTTTTAAAATGGACTCAGAGAACTAGGATAATGAGCCTAGCACTCGTCATGAGTTGGGAACAAAGTTTTGAGAAGATCAGGGCTAGAGAGGCAGAAATGCCTTAAAATTTACTGAGCATTTATCAAAACATAAAATTTGTCTTTTTGTGGCAGAACAACATCTTCTACGTAAGGTCCTTTTAAATTCCTCATATGAGAACTTTTACAGTGTCTGCATTCTTCCTGAGGTTTTTCAGAAAGTGCTACGACATGGACATTATATGAAGGGTAAAGAGGCCCTGTCTATACAAAGTTGCTTTTTTAACCTTCTGTCTCTTTCCTCTCCAACAGACTATACAGATCCTATGTGGATTGATGGTATTGAGCTTGGGACTCATTTTGGTAACTTCTTTCTTTTCTGCTCAATACACTCCAGTATTCTCCAACCTGCTGAAAGTAGGTTATCCATTCTTCGGAGCCTTCAGTGTGAGTAGAGTTCCGTAACTGGTGCTGATAAAGCAATATCATTTCTGGGGGAAAAAAGAATGAAATAGGATCTGAATCTCATCCCATACACAACTACTAAATTAAGATGGATCAAAGAAATAAATGTAAAACCTAAAATCATAATGGTCATCAAAGAAAAAATAATGGCAAATTAGGGGACCCATGTGGCATTGTAGATCACCACTGGACTGCAAACTAAAAGGTCGACAGTTCAAAACCACCAGCTACTCCTTGGAAACCCTATACATGGTCAATATGAGTTGGAACAGACTCAACATCACTTAACAACAACAACAAATTTCACACAGCATAATGTTATCCAAAGAGCTCTGGTAGCATAGTGGTTATGAGTCAGGCTGCTAATTTCAAGCTCAGCAGTTCAAAACTACCAGCAGTTCTGCAGGAGAAAGATGAGGCTTTCTGTTCCTGTAAAGATTTACAGCCTCAGAAACCCTACACAGGGTCACTATGAGTTGGAACCAATTCCAAGGCACGGTAACATCACCACCACCACCAATGTCATCCAATGTCTTCATCATTAGTCTTTGCATAGTATTCCATTCTGTCTATGTATGAAAGTTAGTTTATATATACCTCCACTGATGGGCATTTAGGTTGTCTCCAAAATTTTGCTATTGTAAATAGTGCTACAATGACTTTCAGAGTGTCCAGGCTCTAGATACCACTTTACATTTCATGGTTACATCTTCTGTGGTTCTTCAAGACTGTAACAGTTCTCAAACTTTTCTTGTCTTTAATAATTCTGATATCTGAGGTGAACTGATTATGTGTTTTTGTATACAGACAGTCTTTGGGTTATGAACTTTCAACTTATGGACAACTTTTGTTGTTGTTATTAAGTGTCATCTAGTTGGTTCTTACTCATAGTGACATTATATAGGGTTTCTGATACTAAATCTTTGCAGGGACAGAAAGCTTCATCTTTCTCCTGTGGGGTGGCTGGTACACTTGAACTGTCTACCTTTTGGTTTCCAACCTAGTACTTATCCTATAAAGCCACCACATTCCCATGAACAACTATTGTTGCTGCTAAGTGCTTTGACTACAAGCTGGTTCTGACTCATAGTGACCCTGTGTAGGGTTTCCAAGGAGCAGCTGATGAATTTGAACCACCAACTTTGTGGTTCAAACTGACTTTGCTGTACAGTGCATTAGCCCACAGCACCATACCAGGACTTGCCCTTTAATGTTATATAGATTTGCTCTCACTTTCATACAACTGAACAAACTCCTATTTGCAACAAGTTTCAGAACCTTGTTTTTGTTTGTTTGTTTGCGCTAAAATAGTACTAAATTAGAACCGTATGAACCTGTGTTTATTTACCTACGAATTCTTAAAGACATACTACCTAATGGATCTCATTGGTAACCTGTATTGCTCTTCAAATTGGATTTTTCAGATGTTTGTCTTATTATTGGAGAAAGGTGATAGGTTTGAGGCTGTAAGAATACAGAGCTTAAACGTCATTTTATCAATTTATCAGCCAACTGTGCATGCTTCATTACTGGTGAAGTCAAACTAGATCACATGGACAATGTAGTATTTGCCAGGTGTCTCCCCTGAAGTTACTTCTCTCCCTCTTTTCATGCTCTACTCTTTGGAGGCAATATACTAAGTACAGGACACATTTCAGTAGGCATCTAGTCTATTTTTTTTATAGCCAGCAATTATTGATACAAGTCTAAATTATTTAATTCAGGGTTCATTAGAATCACAACTTTTTTCTCTACTTTATCCAATTTTCAATTGTCAGAGACTTTTCTATTATTTAGCTGTTCCACATCTATTAGATCATGAGTATTCTGAGAGCAATGATGATTTCTTAGGTCTTCTGACACAGGCTTAAAGGATTTCCTTTATCCATCGTTATCCTCAGTAATTCACCCTAGCCTGTGGAGCTACCAAATGGAGATCTATATTTATATCTTCCCATACTTGTTAACTGTCTCAGTTCTTTCTCTAGATAACTCCTGACTTGAAAACTCTTTTTTTTTCATTCATTAAGAAACAAAACAAAAAGACAACCTTCTTTCCTGGCTTTTAAGGTCCTAATTATGTTTACTGGGCTGGAGTCCTGCTCATAACTACCTTTTCACTTGTTTCTGAATGGTATATAAGTACAGGAGGTATGTATTCAAATGGATCTAGCATCATTGTTCACTAAGTCTTTCCCTGTGAAAATGTTTCCTAAACACCATGACAATAGTATTGTTGCTGTATCTGCACATAGAAACTAACCTGAATTTTCCCTCTGTTTCCTGAGTAGTTTATCATCTCTGGATCTTTATCTATCATCACGGAGAAAAAGTCAATTAAGTGTTTGGTAAGTATAAGAACTATAACCCACAGCTCTATGGAACTAAAAGAAACGTCCAAAGAATGCTTCATGGGCAATCTTGCCATTTTGCAGAGTTAAAAACAGATCCTGAGCTACTATGTTACCGAGTTAAGAGTAGTGGTTGCATCTTCCATATCTAGGTGCACAGCACATTTCTCTGACTACCATGCCCCAAATCCCTACCTTCCTTCAGGTTATTATATTATATTCTAGATCAGTACCTAGGAATCTGTACTGGTAAAATGTTCCCTCTTAATGATGCTCTTTTGGTGTTAAGTGGCTTTCAAATGTAGACCTTCAATGATGAAGAAACTGACAATGTTCTAAATAGATGATGGGATCATCTGCATTTTGTGGTTTACTGTTTTAGCCCATCTGTCAGACATTATCCTTTGAGAAAATCCAAGCAAAAAGCTGTTTGTGTGAGGACTAATATCCCATCATTCCAGTTACCTGACCTGAAAACTAATAATTATATAAGATTGAGAGTAAACTCTCAAGTCCTACGTATAGTCATTAGTTATTTGTATTTGTTAAGAAAATAGCTTTATCTACATTTTACTCTTTCCATGAAAAGCCAGAATTTCTAGAGACAGGGAGAGGAAAGCTGGGTCATAGGAAGAATATTGGTCTAACCTTTAAAAGTTTGTTAAGTTTTCATTCAACTCTATGTCCCTACAGTGAAGCTGGGAGCCACATAGGAGTGTCACATAATGCATTTCTATAGTACAGGGACTTTTGTTGGAAATAACTCCTGAAAGCAATAAGGAAGCTTTAGGAAATACTCAAGTCAATGCCAATAGTTCTCTTTCTTTCACCAGGATTTAAAGCACATTATTCACAACATCCAACTTGACTCTAAATCACTAAAGCAGCTCGATCTAATAGTACTTTCTGAGATGATAGAACTACACTACATATTGTGTTACCCAATATAATAGCCATATGTGATTATTGAGAAATGATTTGGCTGCATGATTGAGGAACTGAACTTTATACTTACAGTGCTACTTTAAATAAAAGTTGTTTAATGTGACTAGTGGTTACTATACTGGGTAGTGCAGCACAAGAATAGCCCCTCTATGCTTTTAGTGAAAAGCATGGGAATCTTACCTCAAGAGAATAATCTCACCTCAAACTTGGCATCAAGCTCAAGGATATAGGAGTCAAATAGCTGGAATGAATTTTCCTTCTAACACATATTATACTACCTTCTATTGATGTTGAAGAAATGCAGTGTCCAAGAACAGATCTAATTTAGTCTAAGAAATATGTACTGATGGCATTCTGACTGTGGCTGGCTATCAGGATTCAGGAGCAATGACTTGAGAGTTTTTATTTTGAGAAAATTGGGGTCTGGAGGAGAAAGATCTGCAACCTGTCCTCTACTAGTCCCCAGAGCTCCAGATTCTGAGTCTCTAAAAGCAAGAATCTGACAGTTGGGTGTGTCCTGCTGTCCTTTACATATAACTACAGTTTTCAGGATGGTTTTAGCTTAATACTATTCTTCTGTGAGTTGGAGTAGAAGGGAAACCACTTCTAAGATCACTTTGTTTATTCTCTTCACTTTATAAATATAGGTTCATAATGAGACATGAAATTGAGGAACTGAGAACTCAAATAAATGGAAGGAGATGGAGGCAAAGTTAACCCTGTAACCTCAGTTTTCTGACATCCAGTTCAGACTTTTCTTCTATGTCAGGCTGCTTCTTACACATCAAAAAGTGCCAGGGCCTGAGTCTTTAGGTACCTGGGTATTACCAAAAGGCTTGCACTTGACTGTTAACCAAAACGTTGATGGTTCATATCCACATAGCCATGCCACTGAAGGAAGGCTTGGTGGTCTGTTTACATAAAACTTTCACCATCTATACCTTATGGAACTCAGTTATACTTGATAACAAACAAGGCAAATGTCTGGTGTTTTTGGAGGTTGCAGTCTAGAATTCTGCTTCCAACTATCCACATATGGCCTTGTTGTTGTTGTTAGGTGCTGTCCAGTTGGTACCGACTCATAGTGACTCTATGCACAATAGAATGAAACACTGTCCAGTCCTATGCTAACCTTACAATTATTGCTACACTTGAGATCATTGCTGCTGCCACTGTACCAATCCATCTTATTGGGTGTGAGGTGAATCTATCTCTGTTATGCTGACCCTCCTTTTTACAAAGCATGATGTCTCTCTCCCTGGTCTGGTCCACCCTGAAAATATGTCCAAAGTATGAGAGATGAAATCTGAACATCCTGGCTTCTAAGGAGCATTCTGTCTGTCCTTCTAACACATTTGTTTGTTCTTTTGGTGATTCATGGTATTTTAATATCCTCCTCCAACACCAAAATTGAGGAGCTTTGGTAGTATAGTGGTTATGAATCAGGCTGCAAACCTCACAGTCAGCAGTTTGAAACTACCAGCTGTTCCACGGGAGAAAGATGAGGCTTCCTGCTCCTGTAAAGATTTACACCCTCGGAAACCCTATACAGGGCCGCTATGAGACAGTTCCGACTCTACGGCACATAATAACAACACCAGAATTGAAATGCATCAATTCCTCTATGGTCTTGTTTATTCATTGTTCAACTCACATGAATAGGAGGTTACTGAAAATACCATGGTTTGAGCCAGGTGCACTTTAGTCCTCAAACTTACAACTTGGCTCTTGAACACTTTAAAGAGGTGTTGTGCAGTAAATTTGCCTAATGCAATATGTTGCTTGACTTCATGACTGCTCCTTCAAGCAAAATGAAGTCTTTGACAACTTTAATCTTTTATCCATTTATCGTGATGCTGTCTATTGGTCCAGTAGTGAGGGTATTTGTTTTCTTTACATATCTCACCTGAATTTAGATATCATCTGAAGAACAGATTTGATACATTAAACACTAAAGACCAAAGACCAGAAGAGTTGTGGGATGACATCAAGAACATCATACAGGAAGAAAGCAAAAAGTCATTAAGAAGACAAGAAAGAAGGAAAATATCTAAATAGATGTCAGAAAAGACATTGAAACTTGCTCTCCAGTGTAGAGATTCTAAAGCAAATGGAAGAAATGAGAAGGTACCAGAGCTGAACCAAAAATTTCAAAGGTCAACTCAAGAAGACAAAGTTAAATATTACAATGAAATGTGCAAAGATCTGGAGGCAGAAAACCAAAAGGGAAGAACATGCTCAGCCTTTCTCAAGTTGGGAAAACTGAAGAAAAAATTCAAACCTTGACTTTAGTTATTAAAGGATTCTCTTGACAAATTATTGAATGATGCAGAAAGCATCAAAAAAAGATGGAAGTAATACAGAGTCATGGTAGCAAAAAGGAAATGGTTGATGTTCAACCATTTCAAGAGGTAGCATATGATCAAGAGTCAATGAAACTGAAGGTGTGTTGAAGAACTTGGTAAAGAACAAGGCACCAGGAATTGGTGAAATAAAATTTGATATCTTTCAAGAAAGATAGGTGGCACAGAAGACACTCACTCATCTATGCCAAGAAATTTGGAAGACAACTATCTGGCCAACTGATTGGAAGAGATCCATATATGTGCCCATTCCAAAGAGAGGTGACCCAAAGGAATGTGGTAATCATCTGACAATATCTCTGATATCCCATGTGAATAAAGTTTTACTAAAGGTAATACAGAAATAGCTGCAAGCATACATTGACAGAGAACTTCCAGAGGTTCAAGCCATTTTGAGAAGAGGCTGTGGAATGAGGGATATCATTGGTGATGTCCAATAGATCTTGGCTGAAAGCAGAGAATATCAGAAAGATGTTTACCTATGCTTTATTGACTAAGCAAAGGCTTTCGATTGTGTGGATCATGACAAGCTATTGACACCATCACAAAGTATGAGTATTCTGAAACACTTAATTGTGCTCATGAGGAATCTGTACATGGACCAACAGGCAGTTGTTCAAACAGAACATGGGAACACAGAATGGTTTAAAATTAAGAAAGGTGTGCGGCAGGCTTATATTCTTTTACCATACTTATTCAACCTGTATGCTGGAGTCCTGGTGTGGCATTGTGGGCTAATGTGTCAGACTGAAATATCATTTGGTCTGCAAGGTCAGTGGTTCAAGCTCACCAGCTACTTCTTGGATATCCTATTCAAGGTCCCTATGGGTCAGAATTGACTTGACGACACTTAACAACAACAATATTATATGCTGAGCATATAATCTGAGAATCTGGGTTATATGAAGTAAAACGTGGCATCAGGATTGGAGGAAGACTCATTAACA